CTCGGACTCTATTCGTGTCTCCGAAAATTTATCCAAACCAGTGAACCATGCACCAACCCTTCTCTAACCATACCCCAGCTCTCACCACATCACCCAGATCCTTACTCACTAGCTGAACCCCAACCCGACTATGTCCTACTGGCTGATGATCCCCTCTCTTTCATTCCCCCCAATGACACACCGACCTCTGAGTTTGAAAATCCAAATCCTTTGGCAATTTTGGAGCATCAAACCTTGGAGCAAGCTTATTTCCAAGAGTGGCAGGAAGAACAAGATCTCTCCTGCCTCATCGAGAGTTGTTTGGTCCTTAGCCATAGTCTCAAGCTATCGACCAAGCAGCCGGAGAATGAAGCAAATAGACAGATTATAGAGCTGGCAACCAAGACAAAACGAAAAGGAAGGACGCCTAGAACTTAACTTCAAATAGAAGAACATCGTTCAGGGCCTCAACAGGATGCTCCCTTAGCACCCAGAATGAGAAAGAAATCGAAGAGGGTTGGAGAATCCAGCAAAAACTGCAGGGTTGGTTTCTAATCCTTATAATAATGGTGATGCACTCTATATTAGCTAGGAACGTTCGTGGTTTAGGCGCTCCAGAGTAGAAAGCAAGAATTAAAGGGATTATAAGAAGAAGTCGACCTAGTATTATGGTCTTAACAGAAATCAAGTGGAACAACTGTACGCTATAATTGGTCGTCTCTGTAGGAGGAAGCAGATCATCTAAGTGGATAGCGAAAGATGCAATTGATTCCAAGGGTGGGATTGCAATCTTCTGGGAGACGGCAAATTACAATCTAATAGATACATGGGAAGGAAAATTTACTCTGGAAATCAGACTCCAACCAACCAGAAGTAGAAAGATTTTCGCTATGATGGTGATTTATGGCCCAAAGGAAAAGGATGAGAAGCTAGCATTCATTCAGGAATTGAATATGGCTTTCCAAAGTTACTTAGAGTCTATGTGCATAATGGGAGACTTCACCCTGGTCCGCTGTCAAGAAGATTATAGGGGAGGACCCAGAAATAACAAGGTAATAATGGAATTTAACAGTATGATTACAGCAAACAGTCTAATTGATTTACCATTAAAAAGTGTCATGTACACTTGGAGTAGTGGAGGAACCAATGGCTCATTATCTCGTAGCGATAGAGCACTAGTAAATCTTAGATTAGAAGACGTATTTGCACCCAACCCTCTAATTGCTCTTGAAAGGGTGGAATCAGATCATAAACCGATCGTGCTAAGGTGGGGTGAAGTAGAAAGAATCAATCGACCATGAAAATTTGAAAATATGTGGTTGGAAGAGCAATGTTTTTTCGAGCATTTGGTTGGATGGTGGAGCATTCCAGTGAATGGATCTGGACACATTTTCAGGTGCAGCCAAAGAATGAAGACCACAAAGCAGCTTATCAAGGGTTGGAAAGTTGATTGCTTTGGGAAAATAGGCAGAAAAGTTTCAGATCTGCTTACATAAATTAAAGGAATAGACAGGTTGGAAGAGCAAGGACGAATTACTGAGGCAATCTCCATAGAGAGGAGGAAGTTGAAGTGCGAGCTAGACAGAACTCTTCTTATGGAGGAAATCTCTTGGCGTAAAAAATCTCACGTCCTGTGGCTCAAAATCGGTTATAAGAACACTTCGTTCTTTCATCGCAAGGCAAAGAACAATAGAAGAAGAAACTGTGTGAAAAACTTGAAGGTAGATGGAAGGGTAATTGAAGACAAAGATCAGGTGAAACGGGCCTTCATCACTCATTTTGAAGACAGATTTGCTGGAAAAGGGTAACAACAGACCCTTTCCCGATCACTTAAAATTGAATTTGATCAGTCTTGAATAAAATTATTAGCTCACAACTCCCTTCATGAAATCAGAGGTATGGAGAGAAATCTGCTCCTGTAATGGTGATAAAGCAACATGCCGATGGCTTTACGCTGACTTACTTCAAGAAATCTTGGAGTATAATCAAGCATGACATCATGAAGTCTCTAGATGAGTTCTATATTTCCAGTATTCTTCCTCACTCAATCGCACATTCTTTCTTATGCTTGATACCCAAAAAAGAGGTTGTCGAGGAGCTGAAGGATTTTCGACCAATTAGTCTCATCAGAAGCCTGAATAAAATAATTTCAAAAGTTTTGTTGGCAAGGTTATATTCGATCTCAGAGAAGCTAGTATCAAAGTTCCAGTTTGCTGGCCGGAAGACAAAGCATACTCTTGAGGCAAGTTAGTTAGCAAATGAGGTAGTAGACAACATGAAACCGGGAATCATCCTCAAATTGGATATCAAAAAGGTGTTTGATTCAGTTAGCTGGGAATGCCTTTCCAAAATCCCAGGAAACATGGGTATGAATACCAAGTTGAAAAAGTGGATCATGGGTCTGGTGTCTTCCTCAAAGCTATCGGTACTTGTTAACGGAGAATCAGTAGTGGTTTTCAGCATGGGAAGGGTCTAAAGCAAGGGAATCCATTTCTCCACTCCTCTTCAGCCTTGTTATGGACATATTTTCATTTATAATACAAAACCTCCAGGAATCAAGGCACATCACAGGTTCCTGCATAGATGAAGATGAAGGTCGAGGACAGGTTTCTCGCTTACTGTATGCTCATGATGCGAGAGTTTTCTGCAACTCCATTGAAGAAGAAGTGTTCAACGTGTTGGCATCCTTGCTTTGCTTTCAATGCATCACTGGCCTCAAAAGCAACCTTGACAAAAGCAAAAAAATTCCAGTTGGGGAAGTTGAGAACATATCGAGGCTTGCTGAAATCCTAGATTGCGAGTAGAGCTTCCTACATACGGGGTACCTTGGGTTGCCACTAGGAGCACATCCTACCTCATCGGCAATATGGAATTCGGTGTTAAACAAGATGCAAAGAAAATTGAAAGGCTGGCAGGGCAAGTATTTATCATTACGGGGCAGAATCACTCTACGCAATGTTGTGCTTGCTAGCCAACCTCTTTACCTCTGCTCATTGTTCACCGCACCAGCTAGCATAATCTTACAACTGCAGAGAATACAAAGAGAGTTTATTTGGTCGAAAACGATGCAGCATAAGAATTTTGTAACACCCCGTTTTTGGGTTTAGGTTCGACCAAGTTTCGACCGAGAAATTGGAAGGCAATTGGGGAAAAAAATTAAAATGTTGAAGAAGGAGGGACAGGCTAGAACACGGGCCGTAACACGACCATATTGCTAGACCGTGTTCGCAGAAGCGAGTCGTTTTGATGAATCGAGAAATGAAGCGGTACAGGCTGGAACACAACTTTGAACACGACCGTGTTTACTTAAATGATCGTTTTTATTACCGTTTTTAATTGGTCGAGCCATTTTCGAGAAACCAGAAATGTAGCATTACACGGCATGACTCACCCGTGTTTGGTGGTCGTGTCTCTCGGAACATCGTGGTATATTGAGAGACGATTGGAACGAGGATGACGATTGGGGAGAACAAGGGCAAGAACACGGCCGCGTCCCATGCCTGTGTTGCATCTGTATAAGAACAAGCAAATTCTTCTGGCCAAATTTTTTGCACCAAAATCTCCTCCAAAAGGTTTGGTCGAGAAAATGAAGAAGGAAAAGAAGGAGTGGCCGACCCATCTCCCTCTCACCTTTTCTCCGCGGGCCCTCCAGCACTATCACCTCCCGTTCTCGGTGTTGTTCCTCGATGGAAAAGAAGAGGAGTGAAGAGAAGAAGGAAAAAAGAGGAAAAACAAAGAGGCCAAGCTCTGGGTTTGGTCGAGAGAAGGTCGGAAATCGTTCCACGGAGTTGAAACCAAGTTAGTAGTCGTTTGATGGGTCGTCGGAACTTCGACGGAGCTTCATCGGAGAGTCGCTGGAATCTAAAAAAATATGAATTTCAACCAAAATTTGAAAGGTGGGTATGGTTGCATCGAGGGGAATCCCAGGATCTTCACTGTGTCGACGAAATCAAATTCCGACGGCGGATGAGGGAGAACAGAGTCTCGGAAGTTTGAAGGAAAATCTGTCAAGTTCAGGTACCATTCTTGATAATTCAAAACGTTAGAGGATTGAATATATTATTTTCCAGAAGGGTCAGGGTCAATGGTGGTGACTTGGAAAATTACTAATTTGATACCTGATACTTGGGAATATGACAAACTTCTTATTTTGGCCATAACTTGTACCCTTTAATATGCGACTTAATTAGAATAGTGATTGGTGAAGAATTGAGCTTATCAAAATAAAATTTTGAATTTGACATCAAAGTGATTCATGGTTCATACACCAACATATTGATTGACGATGCATTTGAAATCAAATTAGGGTGATTGAAATGCAACAAATTAATGTGGCCTGCAGATTTCACAGCAAACATATGGCAACTGAAATCTCTATTGTCGCTCTGAAAACCAATTTCATTGAAATTTTTTTTTGGGGAAACTATAACAAACAAGATCATGCCGGCTAACTACATTCAAGACAAAATTAATGGTGAGTAATTGGTAATAAGGGTAATTATATTTGTGCGATGAATCTTCAAAACAAATCACGAGGAGTTGACTCTGACGAGAGATTCTTTGTGTAGCCAAATGTGACCAATAATTGCAACTAATCCCCAGTTGTTAACACCTTCTCACCAACCAAAGACCTACTTTACTTACTAATTGGAGTTGTTTTTGCCATCCTTTTTAACGTTGATGCACCAACGTGTTTAGGATCCTACTTAAATATAAATTCACTACCGACAGCTCACCATATGGCATATGCCCTAGGGCCTAGCTTATCAACTTCCTTCATTTCTTTACTTCTTTCTTCATCCAACGACCAATCATCAATTTTGATATATGAAATTGCTTTGCATTGCCCAAAAAGAAAGACGGTTATTTCCCTTTCCATTTTTTACTTACATCCCAAAAAATTAAAAACCCCCAAAAAAAACAAAAAACAACGTGTACGAGTATGATGATCTTAAATAAACCAAATATTCTCCCCACAAGAATTCAAACATCATACAAAACGGAATCAGTTCTCCATCTAATCAACCCGATCTCTTCGCCGCCGTCCCGTTCCGTTCCCGGCAGAACTGGAAGCTATCCTTGTCCATCCTCTCCACCACAAAATGCGCCAACATCCCGTTCGTCACCTCCACCAAATTCTCCCGACACAGAAACTCGTCCCCACAGACCCTCTCCACGTCCCTATAATAATCGTGTACGAAAACATGCGTCTTCCCGCCACCTCCCTTCCTGCTCCTCGCCAGCACACCGGCCGTGAAAATCGACATCATCCTCCCGGGCGCGTCGGGGCCCTCGCCACGTGGCCCGTCCACGAGGATGACGTCCCAATCCACGTCGTACACGTGGTTGGGCAGGTCGTTGATCCCGAGCCTGCACTCGGAGAAGAGCAGGTTCTGCACGGGCCGGCACTCCTGCCGGACGAGCTCCTTGGCCGAGGCGAGGAGCTCGCCCAGCTCGGCGGCCCGCGTGGCGTACTGGACGTCGAACACGTCGACGTCCGGGTGGAGCTCCTCGAAGTAGGCCGCGTAGTAGCGGTTCTCCTCGACGACGACGGTGCGGCCGCGGTGGTTGAGGGAGTTCCAGAGCAGCGTCTCGTGGGTGAGGCCGAAGACGAGGAGGTTGCAAGGGTGGGAGCACTTGCGGAGGACGTCGGAGACCGACTTCAGCTCCGCGTGGGACATGTGGAAGGTGTCGTTGGAGCGGGACGCGTAGTGGACGAGCGTGTTGATCACGCTCGTCGGGAGCGGCGGCGGGACGGGGAGGAGTGCGGCGGTTGTTGCCTCCTCCTCCGTGGAGGAGGATCTCGGCGGGGAGCGGAGCGTGGCGGGGTCGTCGCGCGTGTAGATGAGGGTGAGGAGGAAGGCGATGGTGAAGAAGGAGAGGACGGCGAGGAGCCAGAGGCGGTTGGATGAGGTGGCAGCTTGCTTTTGGATGTAAGGGTGGAGGAGGATGAGCTTTGTGTTGCCATTGCCGTTGTTGTTGTTCTTCATGATCTCTTTCGAGGAATTGACCTCTATGGTTTTCAGTTTGACAGGATTCTTGAACTTCAAAATTGATGTTCAGAAAATCTTGATGGGGAATTTGTGGGGAAGGGAGAAGTTTTAAATGGTGGGAGAGAGGTTGGGGAGTTGAGAGAGAGAGAGAGAGATATGGGAGAAGAAGACTATGAGATGTGAGTATCACATTAGTTACATTTCAATCAACCTAATTTCGATTTTAATATTCTGGAATTTCCCGCCCGGCGGCCCACTAGTCTTCCTCCCAAGTTTTCATATTTGTTGCATATATATAATTTAGACTGGAAAAATATGATTATTATTATATCGGTGTTTGTTGGTTTTGAGTGGGAAGGGGAAAACAAATGATATTTTGGCTAAGGTAATGTTGGTATTTGTGGTTGGAGAGGATGGTCATGTACAATTTCAAACTCGTGTTGTTAGGTATTACTAGACTTGATTCATATTGGGGTCGATATTATCCGACTCGCAGTGATGTGGGGCAGAGTATGTGTACACTTCCGACTTGCTGCATTCTTGTTCCTTTTGATCTTGATTTTTGCTTCAGTATTTATTTTTATTCATCATATTTTGGTTTTTCTGCAATCATATTTTCACCCAATGAAGTTTTGAAATAGGTGCAAGACTTGATTCATAACTAATCAAAATCAAATTGCTCAGTTGTATATATTCCCTATTTTTTATATAAGTACCTTAACTTTGTTTATCGTAAAAATTAAATTTTTGTATTTATTTATTCAAATTAAATTATATCGAAGTTTGTTGGTTTTGATTGGGAAAGGGAAAACAAATGATATTTTGGCTTAGCTAATGTTGGTATTTGTGGTTGGAGAGGATGGTCAAGCACAATTTCAACTCGTGTTGTTAGGTATTAATTACTAGACTTGATTCATATTGGGGTCGATATTATTCGACTCATGCACAGACTTGCTGCATTCTTGTTCCTTTTGATCTTAATTTGTTGCAGTATTTATTTTTATTCATCATATTTTGATTTTTATGCAATCATATTCTCACCCAATGAAGTTTTGAAATAGGTGCAAGACTTGATTTATTACTAATCAAAATCAAATTGCTCAATTGTATATATTCCCTATTTTTTATATAAGTACCTTAACTTTGTTTATCGTAAAAATTAAATTTTTGTATTTATTTTTTTCAAATAACATGAAAGAATGGATCGTCCTATCTCGCGATCTCTATCAATACGAATATTACTTGACTTGACCTAACCTAGATGTGAGATTAGTATGTGAATTTAGATACTTGCATGCCTGCCCAATACTGCCCATTGCCATCACTAATGGCCGAGAAGTATAGTTTCTAGAGTGGACTAATTTGACTAGAAATGAAATTTTATCAGTGGATTGGGAGGGAGCGAGAAATTGAATGAGGGGGGATTGAATGAAACTAAGGAAGTAGGAATGGAGCTGTTGGAGAGCGACACAGATGGATGTGTAGGTCGTGGCGGTATAAGTGTAGCGACCCAGTAACTAATTACAAGCCAAAAGTCGCTTTTCCTTCTTCATTTCTCTGTTTTGCTTCTCAAGTAACCTATTTTCTACTTCTCCCAAAACCCAAAAAAGAAAACAAATATTAGTCCATTGCGTTGGTTTCCATTGAAGAAAAAAACTTGGGTTTGAAGGGGACGAATTACCAGCTGCTACTGCGACTCCAATATACATTACCAAATACCAAATGCAGAACCATATACCAAATACAAGAAAACATGGACAAGGGGATTCGCAGATTTTTCCTCGGAATACACATATTTTTAAAAGAAAAAAAATCCAAAGTATACAAAATATTCTCAATCTACACATGTTTGGGCATCACCGTGGCTGTCGGGCATGGTGAAGGCATTCATCGCTGTAGAAGAAAGTGATGAATGTATCACTCCTGCAGAGGAGCCTAGTCAAGGCACAATGAAGGCTTCATCGTGGTCGAGAAACGCGATGAAGGTCTGACCTAAACTGAAACTTCTAACAAACATAACTTTGAGCACGGTTATCCAGTTGTAGCAAAAAAAATTATTCCGCATATTTTTTTTTATTCCGCAAGATTACGTTCGTTTGAAGTTTCAGTCTTAGATCAAGCATTCAATGTGTTTCTCGCTCGCGGTGAAGTCTTCACCGCGCTCCTCTATCGTGGTATGCATTCACCGCTTTCCTCTGCAGCGATGAAGATGTTCACCTCGTCCAACGGCCGCGTTGATGTCCAAACATGTGTAGATTGGAATTTGTTTCATATATAAAACCCGTGCATTTTGGATTTTTTTTTAAACGTGTGTATTCTGGGATAAATCCGCGATTCGGCAAAGTCTATAGTTTAAGTAAACCCAGAAATGCAGATAGCCTACTGTTAAGTTACTAACTAATAATTAATGATCCTATTTTCTTATTAATTAGTGACGTTATTTTGTTGTTAGGTTGTGAAATGCCTTTAAATTTTCCACTCCTATAGGAGCAAGACTTGAGAGGGACTTGAGATGAATAAGCGTATGTTGCTTGTTAGGGAGGACAAATTTGTGAATATAATATCTTATTTTCTTCCGGTTAAGAGATTATAGTTCGGTTAAATTAAAAATAAAAAGGAGGTTTTGGTGGTATTTGGAATACCTAATTTGCATAAGTGATCTAATCAAGTCCAGAAGATGGTAGCCTATTATAAGTCCAATTTGATAGGGGACATCTTACCAACCCAGTTTGGTTTGGTTTGTGGAACGTTCATGTTAATTAGTGCTTAGATTATGTATCTTCGGCCAATATTATTATTGTACATGTATGGTTCTGAATTTTGGTTCCCCAATTATTGGAGAAGTGATAGAAACATGGGTGTGTTTGGGGTTGGTAATGGCTCTTGGTACCTCAATCGTGTACCATTTTCGTTGAATGGAGGAGCACAAGTTTCATTTCCGCTGTCATCATGACTCATGACGAGTAGGACCGGTAGAGTTAAAAGAAAAGTTTTAATTTCTGATATTTTTATATCTTCTCCTCCAAACCAATAACACTAAGCTAAAATTGTCAAACTGGTTTATGTCAGTGTGTCGGTTTCGTAAGTGAAATGGTTCAACTACGGTATACGCCGATACATACCGGTACATGTCGGTTTTGATAAAAAAAAAGCGAAGGAAAAAATCGTGAGAAACTTAACACTAAATAAATTAAATATAGCCATCACCCTATTCATTCATATATCCAATTTTGCACATAACACTAAATCTGAAAAATCAGTAAATAGTTTATAAGAGACAAAATTATCTCTATTTGGAGTCATAGTTCGACTCTAACTACACATCTCAATCGACGACCAAGTATAACCGACGACCAAACATTACTTTTGTCTTATTCCTCATTCACTGTATGAGCAGCATTCATCACATGCATGGTTTGACAAGTTTTTGTTAGACCAAGCGGAGTCGGTAATGAATACTTTTGAAGTGGTCAATGCACAAATTAATTCAGATTTCAATAGTGAGAGATTAGCACTAGCTTGATTGAGCAACCCAAAATAGTTTGCCAAGAATCTCTCTTGAAACGATTAAATTGCTATGATGAACTTTTTCCAACTACGATAGAAGTTTTCACTTCTTTGCAATAATGAAAGGAATAATATTAGAGAAAGTGTATAGAGAGAGATATGAGTCAGGACACATAATTTTAACGTGGTTCGGCCAATATGGCTTTACATCCACGTCCTGGAGATAGTTACCACTATCTCGCGAAAGACTCTAACTTCTATTAAAATAAAAGACTATATCTTATGAAATAAAATCAACCTTGACACCTCGTGTCAAGAACCAAATTGGTGCAACTCCACACCTATTCAACCCTTAGCTAAACCAAAAGCTAAGTTGTCCACTCCCTCAATCAAGCCAACACTCATAGTTTGGGTAGATTGAAGAGTAATCCACCTACTACAACTTCCAAGCAAGAATCCCCTCTTGCTATTACACTAGTCCCAATCAGTGCAGTCAAAATCGCGCATTAAAACGTAAAAACTTAAGTTTTTACGTATCCAGGCCACCAAAACGTTTCAGTTTCTACCTAAAGCCGTTTTGTCACAAAAACTAGTAAAAACATTGGTAAAATCGGTAAAATCGCGATTCTGAAGCTTTTTTATACGATTTTGATCATCTCATAAAAATGTGCTAATTGGCCCAAAATGATGTAATTTTGGAGACATATCAGCAAAAAATAAAAAAAGGAAAACATGATTCATCACTCGTTCTACAACTAGTGTCGAGATAGGGGCTTCACATTAGGTTGAAAAGACACCTAATGGTATTCTCAACAGTCGCTGACCTTCTATCAGTCTTCTCCCTTAATCTTCACCTGTGGCTCTTACCTGGGTTATGATAAAAGTTTATGGGTAATTGATCGTACGTAATTATGTAAACTAAAACCAGCTTATGAGAATTTGGATTCTCAAGCTCGTTTATGGGTTACGATCTACGTTCATGAGCTTGTTATTAAGATGTTATGAGATTTCTCTACTTTTGAGTCAACACAAATTAGTTTATGTGTTAGATATTACATTTTAATTATGAATTTCATGTAGTTATTCACTTATCTAAAATCTACACACTCACATTTTACATACTATATGTTGTACTTAACATATTTTAACTATTTTAGAGGGTGCGTCAAAAACTTACGCTTTTACGCTTTGATTCTACGTTTTACTATTTTATCCCTTTTCCGCTTCTAGGTAGAATCGCGCTTTTAACTGCATTGGTCCCAATTACAAATACTCTTTCTATCCTAGAACCCGACCTAGCTTGACTATCTCAACTTCCGAGATATCAAGCTATTCACACCACGAAATATGATCACACTATTTTCCTATTACAAGGGAGAAAAGAACTTTGCAAAAGATGTTCTAGCCTACAAAGAGCTCTACTATTTATAGTGGAGGTGTAGCTCCATTTACTTTCTTTTATAATGCTTCTTATGACAAGTCACTTCTTG